TCATCCTCGGCGGTTGCTGGCTATGGGACCTTCATCCTGATCCTAGTCACGGCACCAATTGTTATGATCCTACAAGATGGTGGTGGTTGAGGATAGTTGTTTATTGCCAATAGCGTTCGAGATATGGTTAAATTTTTGTTCATACAACAAAATATCTCATCTGGAACAAGGTTGCAGATTTCCCACGCGCACACAGGACAGTTCATGGACGAGTCACTATTAAATGCGCATTCTTGTATTCACCATACCGAACGTCAGTAGTTTGCTCCAACAGGTCTTGTTGAGTTTTGGTCGTTGAACGAAACCGCCGATCGCATCTTTTTGCTTACTGCTCACAAGTGAGTAGTATCTCACAACAATCGTTATGTCGCCAAATTGTTATGTTTTACTCCGCTTATATCCGTTGCCTACCATTAGGTCGCACAGCACTATATTTCAGGTGAATAATACAGGTGCAAAGAACACAAGATATAGCACAGTAACAATAGTAGCATACGGCAACACGGGAACAAAGGACCAGCACTAAGTCCGTGAGCGGATGATAGTTCTAAGAGCAGAAACTAGCTAAGCGAAACACAGGACGCACGGTCAGCTATCGATCTCTCAGACCTCCCAAGACACGACTTCAGCAGCACGGGATTTTAATGGCGTTGCACAAGTCAATTTACAAGTTTTACTCTGCTGCTTATACCTGATTGAAAATAGCATTGATCAATGCAAGAAAACTAATGTACCAATGAAATACACGGTGAGCAATGCTCAGCCGGTCATAGGCTACGGACCAGACGGACGGAGAGAGTGAATATTGCCGTACGACACAATACTATTGATTTATCTCCTCGAAATCAGTGTTGATCCGAGATGATCCTAATTTGGGTCGAACGTGTTTTAAAACTGTTTGTTTTGTTTATAGAATTAGCAAGTGTGCAGCCGGGCTTATCGTGGGATGAATGGCATTGATCGTCGTCTCAACACTCATGCAGCAAAACTTGTTTGTTTTCACTATTTCTGCCCAGGTTAGAGGTTAGTTGAGAGCTGTACCTGTTCAATCTGGACACAAGCCTTCACACACACTGAAGGTGAAAAACGTAAGCCGAATATAATTACAATAGCACCATAAGTAATCAGAAAAGCGTGTAATCGCTTGAATGTTCACAGTGCAATATTGTCTGTGTACACTATTTTAGACAGCCTACACATGGAAGTCCAATGATACAACCAATCTAACACGAGAACAGAGTCATAGTATAAGGGTGTTGGTGGTGCAGTGGTTTAGGGGCTGTCACCGGCGTGCTTTGGACCCTATTGTCCGAGGTTCCTGGCCCCGCCACCACCAGCAAACTTTGGTGGTATACAGCTTAGCTGTCACCCGGTTCTATACCACGCCGGAGCTAGCAGGGCCTTATGTGGTTCGCCACTCCAAGTCCCGGGTATCAGGTTGCCGATTACCACCACTGAACGGCAGGTCTTCGTGACTATGGAGTCCGCGTCGCCTGCTGTGCTTCACACATTGGTGTGTAATAAAAAGTAGTAATAGTAGCATAGTAATGCTATCTGTTACAAAATTGAAGCGAAAAGTGGGTGAGAAAGGGAGCGACCCTGACGAGCACCAGCCGTATGCTTGAAATCGGCTTCGCCTTCTGGTAAACAGGGATAAGACCAAAAATAAGCTTCACAAGCAAACACTTCAAAGGGAAACGGCGGCAGGCTAAAGAGTAGCTGACTGTGTCGATAAAGGTAGACACAAATAGTGGAAACTGAAAAAAAAATCTGCGCTAAGGGACTATGTGAAGGGTGAGGATATGGTGAATATGTCCTGTGAATCCCCGATACAGCCACAAAGTGATCTGAAACTTACGCGTGCGATAGACAATTAACGGAGCCTAATACAATCGAGAAACTTTGAGATGTTGATCGAACCCAATTTCTCGGTAAGTTTCAAACCATTCCTTTGTATTTCACTCACTTTCCTAGTTTGAACCCAAGAGTTTTGTACACTCAAAGAGTAACGCTGAAGTCCGTCGATGGAAGTATTCTCCGTGAACATACACATTTTTGTTCACCAGCTTTCTGATCACAACCGTTACGAGCGGATAGCGATAACCCGTTTGAACGGGAGGCATTGCAGTTTTGCAGATTGGAAAGTCACATTTAACTCGATCCTCGATGTGAGTCTGTGACTGGACTGATGTCTCAGTCACACGCTATCCGTTCTATCACACTGCAGTCTACGATCATGAGTATAATGATACACTGTCGGACGTCCAACAACAAGATGCGCTTCTTAGTTCCTAATCAGAAAGCGGGCTTCAACCGCATTGTATGAAGCTATTGTACACGTTGAAACTTACCTGGAAACTGAAAACCCTTACTTCAGTGCCCTTTGAGTTTTTGTGATCTTTGATTCACGAGCACTAATGACTTGAGGCTACATGAAATACTGAGTATCAAAAATTGCAGATGGCAATCAGAGAAACGGAGATATTAAAAACGGCTGTTTATCATTTCGACAACCCATTTCTCGGGTTAATGAAATTGTACTAATGC